TGCCAAGCACCTCTTTGTGTGATGACGACATGCTGTCCTATTGTAAGGAAATTAATGCACTTTTGTCCTCTATTTCTGCCCAGGTCAGGAGCGCCCTGCCACAGGCTGCGCAGGCGGCTCTGCACAGGATCAAACCAGGCGACTGGGTCCTGGTGAAGGAAACGAGACGAAAGCATTGGCGGTCCAAGCGCTGGCTCGGCCCATTCCTCGTCCTCCTGGTGACGGACACTGCCGTTAAGGTCGCGGAGAGGACAACGTGGATCCACGCCAACCACTGTCGTGCGGTGCTGCCACTGAGGACCATAAACGAGGACACCGAGGGCGCGGACGGACCAGGCCCATCCGCGGCTCCCTACGCTGAAGTGGTCGGCCGGCGTGCGGCCACCATCGGTGAAGCAGGCCAACAACAACACCCAGAGAATCCCAGCGTTGCCGAGGCAACCCCCCTTTGCCCAACTCCCCAGCCCCCGGACCCCAAGGCCACACCCCAAACCCCGAGCACTCTGCCCAACCGAGTGCTGAGGCCAAGGCTTCAACGCAAATAGAGTCTTGCCGCTCCAAGACCAAACATCGCCATGACCACTAACGCTCCACACACGCTCATAGGGAGCGGTGCCACTGACTGCAAGGCGGCACTGTTCGTGAGTATTCCCGCGGAAAAGACTACCGAATGTAGCCCGGCTAAGACCGGCATGGGCCCTTGGACTGTTATGCTGGCCACACTGACACTACTTTCCGTGCTGACTGTGTTTATTATGTTAATATTGTCTTCCTCTGAAACTCAAAACCCTGTGATTCAAGCCATGACACGCATTACACGCAGCCTTGCTTCCGACGACACTGCTTGGTTGGAGGCCTTGAGTAAATCCTACAAACATTCTACAGTTTATTCACTCAACCTTTGGTATCAGTATGCAAAATACGTCGCAGATAGCCACAATAGATCCAATTGCTACGTATGCACCCACCTTCCTATAGCCGCCGCTAACCCCCACATAATCCCCTTACCGGTGCCAAATATTTCCAAAATCATCCCTCACACCCTGGTTTCAATGTCCGATCCCAGGGCTCCAGCAATGTTTTTTGCGGTGCCCCCAAAACTCAAGCCCCTTGCCCAGGGAGAGCTGCGTCTCAAATCCGGCAGCCACCCAGGGGAAGAGCCAATCTTCGGCCCAGTGCACATCAAACCTGGCTCCAAATTTATATGCTACACCCACTCCTGGTCTCGGGCCAACACCAGTCTTACTCTCCCGAAAGAGCCCATTCATGTGGGAAATATCCCACTTGAGTTCTGCTCTATTGTATATAGCCCCTGCACATACATGGCCAACAGCAGCAAACTTAACGATTCCCAGGCAGCCCCGGGAAGCGTGTGTGTCCCGTACTATACGGTACCAGACATTTTAGGAACGCGGCCCGTAGAGTCTCACATGTATCTGTGCGGATATCGCATGTATGACTGTCTGCCCGCAAAATGGGAGGGACGCTGTGCGGCCGCCCTTCCTGCCGACCATTCATACATCATCTCCACACTCCCTAAGGCCCAACACCGAGACAAGAGAGAACTCTACACACCACACGACCCCCTGTGGGGCACTAATGTACCCGATGACCACAAATTATGGACCACAGGCCAGAAAATAATGTTAGCATTATTCCCCAGCCTGGGTGTAGGTAAACTAATGCTAAGGACGGAGACCCTGAGCTATAGGTTCTCAGGTTTTGTCAATACCACAGTGGCCATACTTGAATCACAGAGAGTTGAACTTCACGACCTACGTGCCGTTGTTCTTCAGGACCGGCTGGTCCTGGACCACCTGACCGCGTCTGTGGGAGGCGTATGCACGATCATCGGGTCGTCCTGCTGTACATATATTCCGGCCAACGATGAGGACGGAGGTCTTATCCAACAGGGCATAGCCAATCTGACTAGACTCCGGGACGTCATGCAAGCGGACAATGTCACGGACACTCCTCACGGTCTGGACTGGCTCCTGTCCTCCTGGCGGAGTGTGCTCATTAATCTTGGTTTAGCCCTATTGCAGGGGTTAAAGCAAAAAAAAAAGATTTGACTGAAAATTTTCGCATGGAAATTTATCACAAGTAAATCACAGTAATATGCAGGACCAAGTTATATTTTTAATTACAATATATTATCGTATAATAAATTGTATATTGAATACAGCTTAAATGAATTCTTCAAAGATATACAGTGTATTTTGATATGAAATATAAGTGGATCAAGCAACGAGTCAACTTTTTGACAGAATATTAGTGAGAGTAGCTTTACTTGAGGCGATATGGAGCGTCAACACTTTGGCTCTGTCCTCGTCAAAATATTGCAAAAGGAAATGTGGACAATTCTGTCCACATTTGTTTGTGGACACGTCAATATTTAAGAAAAAGGTTTCCCTATCAAGTTTGAGTGCACAGTGCACTTCGATCAACTGCAAATGATTTAAATAAATCTACCAGCGGTAGTGATATTCTGAACGTTATTTTCTGCGATAAAACCACAGACACGGTCCGCCAGAGCAAGCCTAGTGTCAGTTGTTGCTGATGCACCAGGTAAAGATGAAGTGTGGGAAAGTGCACAAACAGCTGCCTTGTGCGCAGTTTTGAGCTGGTGGCGAATCAAAACTTTGTTCTCATTACTCCCATACATGCAATTTTTTTATGGCAAAGTACGCACAAGCACCGGCCACTTTCATCTTTTCGCACCATGACTCGTTGATTGGCTCTTTTACATCACGCTGAGTTTTGCAAGAAGATCGCAAACAAGACAATATCAAAAGCTCACCAAGACATGTTTGTCCCCATTCCCAGTCGCAGCAAAGTCCGTTTTGTATATTCCGTTAAGTAAAATAGCATTGCGTTTGGTAAACGTTAATTACCTTTCGTCTATTACGCGCCCAGCTTACCAGTCCGCAGATCTGCTGCTGTTATTGCTCCGTTCGAGATTCAATTTTCCTCCTCTTCTCCTTTTCAAAAGCTCCGTGCAGTTTCCAGAAACTTTCACCTCCGTGTTACCAATGCTAACTTCATCGCGTCTTCATTTGCGCGTGAGCTCAGCTACGTCCCATTGCCTTGATTCATTTGCGGAGCGCTCACGTGGCCACGGCACGTTCAAGGCCCACTCGTCATTATATTACTTATTATTTCTATATACATATAAATACAATTATATTCAAATTATTATTATACATCGATATATATATATATATATATATATATATATATATATAACAGATTCACACGTATATGTATTACTATATATTATTTTTATAATCAATAATTTCATTGTGTGTATTATTATCATTATATATATATATATATATATATATATATATTTTTTTTTTTTTCAGACCAATTTCATTTGACGGAAATCCGTCACCTAGACGGAACTCTTTAATCCCTGCCCTATTGACTGTTATGGTTTTATTTTCATGTGTATTACCTTTGGTGTTTCGGGCCGTTGGTAAAATGATATCCACTCACTTTGTGTCCATTCAACACAGAGACCCTGAGGCGGACCTGGCCGCGGTCCCACTGAACTCCGATCCTGATTATATCAGCGATTCGGACGACGACTTTGTCTAACGTTTTTCTTTCTTGTTTACTTTGTTTTTATTTTTCCACTTGTTCCGCCCACAATTTAGGGGGAGGGTATCACAGCGAAGAGCTTTGACCACACCCCCGTAATACAAGAGGCTTGGGTGACGGCGGCGTAACCTGCCCATCAACAACTCTTCTTTTACTCAGGGGCCAAGGTCAATACTCACCCACCTGAATGTGATCTCTGTAAAACTGGGGTTCTACATTATCACGGGAAAGGAGTGTGATGGCAAGCGGCTAGTATTCATGGCGGCTAGTATTCATGCAACCCTGCCTGCTTCTATTCATATGTCCCTGCTCCAGGAAGGAGCCGGGTCCCCCCGACACCTACAGACAATGGCGCAAATCACTGTATCACTCTCGCCCCCCTTTCGCCTCTTGCATATGTATCGGTCTGTATGTGTGCATTTTCTACATCCTGCAGTCTGTTTGCATCCCTATGGCGCGGCCAGATGTCTCTCCACGGGACATGGCGTCTCCGCTCCAGAGCCCCGTCTCTGCTGAACCCCCTCCCATCTGTTGTGGGCGTGACTGTCTTTCATGTGTGTCTATGTAAACAGGAAGCCTGAGCTCTGCGAGCCAGAGCTGGGATATGCTGCCTTTTTGTATATGTTAGCTCTCCGCACGTGTGTTACAATAAACTTACGCTCCTGGATTAAGACAAAGACTTCTGAGTTTTCTCCTTCATTGGATAGAAACTTCCTTAACAGTACCTGCGGAGGTGATCCGCTGATGGTGTGACTCCTTTCAGTGTTTGCATATGAGTGAGGGAGTTGTTCTCCAGTTGACTTGAGAGAAGTGTCATCTTACTTATGAAAGCTTTCACCAGGCTGTACATTTCATGAACAAAAAGGTCCTTTGCTTGCAGTTTTGTGTTCTGATCATTAATCAGTGCTGTCACATCAACAGAAAATGCCAAATCTGTGATCCTCATCTGAGAGCTCTGGGAAAACTCTAAAAGCTCTGCTTTCAGGTCCCAAACTCTTTTCAACACTTGACCCAGGCTGAGCCACCTGACAGCTGTGTGGTAGAAAATGTCATTATGCTCAGTGTCTCGCTCCTCCAAAAGTGCAACAAACTGTGATTCAATGCCCGTGCCCTGATGAAGTTTACTATTTTAGTAACAACATCAATAACATGGTTCATTTTTAACACTGACTTGCACAAAACATGTTGGTGTATAATGCAATGCAAAAATATAACTTTCTGATCTGCATTCATTTCAGTCACTTTATCTTGAATATGTTTCAAAAGTCCAACATTTTTCCCTGTAAGATTTGGACAACCATCTGTTGTGACACCTGCCAGTCTCTCCCATTTCAATCCCAGTGTGTCCATGCACGCATTTACCTCCCTGAACAGATCAGCCCCTGTTGTGGTCCCTTTCATCGGCCGCACTGCTGCAGCTCCTCCGTGATCTTGAAGCCGGTTATCCCACGAACAAATACGAGTAGCTGGGCCGTGTCTCGGACATCACAGCTCTCGTCCAAAGCCAAAGAGAAGAGGTCAAAACGTGCCACTTCATGTTGCAATTGAAGCTCCAGATTATCCTTGTCAGCGTTCGCCTGGACAGCGGTACTTGTTCAAATGCTCCTTTTTTCTCCGGGCGAGGCTCAGCGCGCACTCGCAGAGCAAGTACTGTGTATGGAACGTTTATACCCGGACTCTCTGATTATTATCCTGGGGGATTTTAACAAGGGAAACTTGAGCCAGGAATTACCCAAATACAGACAGTTTATCAAATGCCCGACCAGAGAGGAGAACACTCTGGATCACTGTTACACCACCGTGCGCGGAGCTTTTCGCGCTGTTCCCAAGCCAGCCCTCGGCTTCTCAGATCACTCCATGATACATCTGGTTCCTGCTTACAGACAGAGACTAAAGCTCTCGAAACCTGCAGTGAGGAGCTCCAAAGTGTGGTCTGATGAAGCTGTGGAAGAGCTGCATGCATGGAATCTACAGACTGGGACCTTTTCAGAGCTGCCACAGACAGTTTGGATGAATACACGGACACTGTGACGTCATACATCCACTTCTGCGAGGATAGCATCATTCCAACAAGGACCAGGGTCATCTATAACAACGACAAACCCTGGTTCACTGCTAAACTCCGGCAGCTCAGGAAAGCAAAGGAGTCTGCTTTCAGGGAGGGGGACCGCAGCGGCTACAAAGCAGCTAAATATCAGTTCAGGAAAGAACTGAAAGCAGCCAAGTCCCGGCACAGAGAACGACTACAGGAGCAGTTTGGTAACAACAATACTGCTTCTGTCTGGAGGGGCCTACGGGAGATCACCAACTACAAACCCAAAGCCCCCCCCTGTGCTGATGACCACAAGCTAGCTGACGAACTGAACTTAATTTTCAGTCGCTTTGATGCTGCCCCTGACACCTCTCCCTCCCCCACCCCCCACTACTCTAACGACCCACCCATCAGCCCTGCCCCCAGCCTAACAATAGCCTCTAAAGACATTAAACAACTCTTCTTGAGGCTGCACCCCCGCAAAGCTCCTGGCCCGGACCACGTGTCTCCGGCCACTCTGAGACACTGCCCCAGTGAGCTTACTCCTGTGTTCACGGACATTTTCAACACCTCTCTGCAGTCCTGCCATGTCCCGGCCTGCTTCAAATCCTCCATCATTGTCCCCGTCCCGAAGAAGCCCAGGATCACAGGACTCAACAACTACAGACCTGTAGCACTTACGTCTGTCGTCATGAAGTCATTTGAACGCCTGGTTCTCTCCCATCTCAAGTCCCTCACTTCCCCCCTCCTGGACCCCCTGCAGTTCGCCTACAGAGCCAACAGATCTGTAGACGACGCCATTAACCTGGCCCTCCACCACATCCTACAGCACCTGGACTCCCCGGGGACCTACGCCAGGGTCCTGTTCGTGGACTTCAGCTCTGCCTTCAACACAATCCTGCCATCCCTGCTCCAGGACAAGCTCTCCCAGCTCAACGTGCCCGATTCCACCTGCAGGTGGATCACTGACTTCCTGACGGACAGGAAGCAGCGAGTGCGTCTGGGGAAGAATGTCTCGGACTCTCAGATTATAAATACAGGAGCCCCACAGGGCTGTGTTCTTTCTCCCCTGCTCTTCTCCCTGTACACCAACCACTGCACCTCCAGCCACGACTCCGTGAAGCTGATCAAGTTCGCGGACGACACCACCCTCATTGGACTCATCTCCAACAACGATGAGTCCGCCTACAGGAGGGAGGTGGACCGGCTGGTGTCCTGGTGCAGTGGTAACAACCTGGAGCTGAACGCCCAGAAGACAGTGGAGATGATTGTGGACTTCAGGAAGAGCACTGTCCCCCCGCCCCCACCCTCCGTGATGGACTCCCCCATCACCTCTGTGGAGTCCTTCCGTTTCCTGGGCATCACCATCACCCAGGACCTCAAGTGGGAGCCGACCATCAGCTCCCTCATCAAGAAGGCCCAGCAGAGGATGTACTTCCTGCGGCAGCTCAGGAAAGCCAAGCTGCCTGCAGAGATGTTGGTGCAGTTCTACACGGCCATCATCGAGTCCATCCTCACCTCCTCCGCCACCTCCTCCATCACCTCCTCCATCACCGTGTGGTTCGCTGGAGCCACAGTCAGGGACAAACAGAGACTACAGCGCATTGTGCGCTCTGCAGAGGAAGTGATCGGCCGCAGCCTTCCATCGCTGCAGGACCTGTACGTCGCCCGAGCTCGAGGCCGGGCTGGTCGTATCACAGCCGACCCCTCTCACCCTGCACATGGACTATTCCAACCACTCCCCTCAGGCAGGAGGCTGCGGTCCATCAGGACTAGAACCTCCCGCCACAAGAACAGTTTCTTCCCCTCTGCTGTTGGACTCTTGAACACTTCTTAACCTGTCCCCCCGCCCTTTTAAAGTCACTTTACTGCCCATCATACTTGTCACTTTACTTCACTGTACTGCTGTCACCTTACATTGTGTACACCATGTGCACTTGTATATTGTAAATAGTAACTGTAACTCTATTTTAAATTTAAATTTATTCTTTAGAAGTGTTTTTTATTCTTATTTTTATTATCTCTTTTTGACTGTTGCACTGAGCCAAAGCAATTTCCAAGTCTGTGACCTCCTGTTACTTACGTTGGCAATAAAAATGATACTGATTCTGATTCATATTAGCGCAGCAGAGTCCACTCTTTAACAAATTCTCCCTCTGCGAATGGTTTACTGTTTTTAGCAATCTTGTGGGAAATCACAAAGCTCCTGGTTGCATAGCGCTTGGTGAAAACCTCTTGTTGCTTTTGCAGTGCAGCTAGCAAAGTTTTCAATGTCCGCGCCATTTCAGCATCATTTAAGTTTTTGTATTTCTCTGCGTGCTTCGTCTGGTAATGCCGACTCACATTGTACTCCTTAAACACGGCAACTTGCTCCCCGCAAACTAAACAAACAGCCTTAGCTCCAACTTCAGCAAATAAATACTTAGCAGTCCAATGTTTGTTGAAAATCCTGCATTCGGTATCTACCTTTCTTTTTTTAGCATGTGCGGACATTGTCGAGGGCTGCTCGTGACAAATGAAGACTCATATCACGCGCAGGAAGAGCTGCTGGACACTGCAGACCCTTCGCGCCGCTTTCGCGGTGCGGATGCGTCGCGAAAGCGTAATTAAAGCGGCGCAGAAGATGCCAAAAAATCATACTTATATTGAAAATGAGTCGCGGGCCGGATTAAATAGCTTGGCGGGCCGGACCCGGCCCCCGGGCCTTATTTTGCCCAGGTCTGCTCTATACTCTGGTACAAAGACGAGCTCAGCTGCTGCTTTAGTCTGTCCTTAAAAGACGCCATTGTCAAGAAAACACCAGATAATATACCAACCGTAATCAAACAGAACGATTTTAACCTTTTTAACCGTTAAATGTGCGTCACGTGACCCAGCTCCGAGAATCTGATTGGTTTTGTGTTTTATATGAGTTCAACGTTTTGATAAACGTTACTAAAATGTGACTCCACAATTACAAAGTTACAAATTGGACATTGTTGGCGTGTAAATTGAATAGTTTCATGGCATAAAATAAAATACAAAAGGGGCAGTTATGGAATTAAACATGAACTATTATTTATTTAGAGAAACAAATGATCCAAACTGAGTCTGCGTAGAACAGAGACCTTTCACAACGGTGCTGACATTATATCGGCGCCCCCTCCTGGCTGAATAATGGTACTACATCAACATTAATCATAATGTCAGGCTGAGATGATACAAAGTGAAAGCACAAAACAAGAAAGTTTAATAAAACATGTCAATAATTCAATTTACATTCATTTCGACAAGTTTAGAGCTTGATGTTGTAGAGAACTCAGCGTCTCTGGATGCTGAGTTCTAAATTTTTCTAAATACTACAAACATGCATTTTCACAGTATTGTATGAACTTACTGAAAATGTTAAAGAGTGTATTATAACGAAGCTGTTACAATGTGGAGGCTGGACTCGACTGGATTAAACTGCCTCCATGGATCTATCAGACTGCCTCCCACAAATTGTAAAAGAAAACTCTCCTGCTGTCTCTTCTGTCCTCAGATCACTGCTGTGTTGCACCTCCTGCTGGAGATTCAGCAGAAGACAAGGCCTCTGCTTTTAGGGCACATTTATGTTTCTTTAGTTGGATTCTTTGAATGAAGGCTTTTCTACAGATGTCACATTGATAAGGTTTCTCTCCAGTGTGAATACGTTTATGTGACTTTAGACTACTGCTCTGTGTGAAAGACTTCTCACAAACTTCACACTGATAAGGTCTTAGCCCAGAATGAGTGCGTTTATGTTTATTTCGATGACCACTGTCTCTAAATGACTTTCCACAGACAACACAAGAGAAAGGTTTTTCTCCAGTGTGAACACGTTTATGTGTCTTTAGACTACTGCTCTGTGTGAAAGACTTCTCACAAACATCACAATGATGCGGTTTCTCCCCAGTGTGAGAGCGTTTATGTCTTATTAGTTTAGACTTGTACCTAAAACCTTTTCCACAGAGACCACAGCAGTGTGGCCGCTGTCCAGACTGTGTCACTTCTTTTTGATCTGAATCTTTCTTCTTCCAACCTCTTGATGGTGTTGCTCCATGTCTCACCCAAGTCTCGTTGCTGTCGTCACTGTCATAAAAAGGGTCTGTCTGTCGTCCGTCTACAGACAGACTCTGATTTGAACTGAGCTGGAGCTGAGAGATGTTCACCTCGGGGGCAGCTGCAGAGAGAGAAAACACAAATATTATGTAGAACTATCATTTCACTCGCAGACTAATGTAATAATAAGAAAATACACACAGACCTGTCCCACAGACATCACTGCAGTGTGGCGTCACTTCAGACTGTGTCACCTCCTCTGTTTTAACTGAATCTTTCTTCTTCCAACCTCTTGATGGTGTTGCTCTCGTTTCGTCTTGTTCTTGTTGATTGTTTTCCACTTTCACATTAAAGCAGTCGCCAAAGTCCTGCTCTTGAATAACACCTGTTCCTGAGAACTCTGTGTTTTTACTGGTTCCAGCCACAAGTGCTTCATTTGATCTGAGGTGGGCTTCAGAGATGTTGATCTGAGAGACTGCTGTCAACAGAGAACAGAAAATAATATGTACAACTTTTTACTACCAGAAATAGCATTTATTTTAAACATATCTACTATTCGGTCGTTTATCGTCATAATATTACTGATATGAATATCTAATAAAATGCAAGTGATTCTTGAAGTAATGCAGTTATTTCAACGCGTTTAACGAACAATCAATAAAAACACGATGATGACGTAACTTTCCCGTACGACACTTTAAAGTCAGTTATTTTATGGTCAAAACGAATTATACACAGTTTAGTTCATGCAGGACAATAGTTCAGTACATGTAGTGAAGCATGTCCCCAGTCCGTGTATGTTTCATTGAGTGTGTGTTTAGCCTCAAACCTGAAGTGAGACTGGGACAGTCCAGGAGTGTCCCCTGGTCCTCTGGGAGCAGGGCCCTCTCCACAGCCCTCTCCACCAGGCTCTCCACCTGCCCCAACATCTCCTGCATCGCACACTCTATACTCTGGTACAAAGACGAGCTCAGCTGCTGCTTTAGTCTGTCCTTAAAAGACGCCATTGTCCAGAAAACACCAGTAAATATATCGACAGTAATCAAACTTTTCACCTCAATAACCGCGAAATGTACAACACGTGACCCAGCTCCGTGAATCTGATTGGTTTCGTTTAATAAACCCCTTTATTAAATTACACAAAAAACAACTACATAATCACGTATTTATTGAGCTATCGTATCAAAATGATGGATTTGTTAAATGTGATATTATTAAAACAATGGGGATAATCACACAATAATGTTATATATGGCTCATTTGTTAATACATACTTCGGGATTTAATAATGTAAATGTAATCAAAAACAAACACAGAAAACATTGAACTGCATGCAAAAAGTGCACATCACAAAGCAATAAACCGAGTCAAGCCAAATCTTTAACATAGCATTGTCAACTCACTTTTCCCCCTCCAATAAAAGCGTATTTAATATTTATTGGTCTTTATCGGTTATGATTTAGTAACATGCATCACCCAACAGAGGGAGCCATAGGACAGATGATTCATATCTTATTTTACCAGCCCATTTTTCTGTTATACTTTTTTAAACCAACCTCTTCTACAGTAGATTTTAATCACACCGCAAATGTGTTGTTCTCTGATATTTTTTTGTATTTTTCTATCTATATATGTTGAAGACAGCCACTATTTCAGCTTTCAAACACCTAACAAGTCACATTTGGTTTAGTTAAATATAAGCATAAAGAAAAAGCTCCACCAGGAAAAAGGTCCAGCATGTGCAGTGATACGGCCGCTGTATCAAACTGTTGCGGTGAAGAGGGAGCAGCGTCTGCAGTCAGAGCTGTATCAGACTATATTGTGGTGAAGAGGGAGCAGTGTCTGCAGTCAAAGCTGTGTCAGACTGTTGTGGTGAAGAGGGAGCAGCGTCTGCAGTCAGAGCTTTATCGAACAGTAGTGTTGAACTGAAGCTGAGACAAAAAGCTGCTGATTCACCGGTCAATCTGCGTTCCCACTTTCACTTATGCTCATGAGCTTTGGGTAATGCCTGAAATGACAAGATTGCAGACACAAACGGTCAAAATGAGAGAGCTGCTCTGTGTTCCCTTTGAGATATAGGGTGAAGAGCTCAGAGTAGAGTCGCTGCTTCTCAGGCATCTGTTTGGGATGCCTCCGTGGACGCCTCTCTGGGGAGTTCTTTGGGGGCATGTCACACCGGGAGGAGACCCTGCAGGAGACTCAGGACACGCTGGAGGGTCTGGCCTGGGAACGCCTCAGGAATAATAATAATTGGTTTTATATAGTGCTTTTCTGGACACTCAAAGACGCCTCACATAATTCTTTCACTCCATACACGGGGGTGATAAACAACTATGTAGCCACAGCTGCCCTGGGGCACACTGACAATCCCCCAGATCAGCTGGAGGAAGTGTGTGCGGATAGGGAAGTCTAGGTGTCTTTCCTTGGACTACCCCTGCGACCCTGGCCACGGATAAAGCGGAAGAAAATGGATGAAAATTAAGATATCGTCTCGGTGTAGTCTATCCTTAAAAGACGCAATTGTTCAGATAATATACCAACCGTAATCAAACAGAACGATTTTAACCTTTTTAACCGTTAAATGTGCGTCACGTGACCCAGCTCCGAGAATCTGATTGGTTTTGTGTTTTATATGAGTTCAACGTTTTGATAAACGTTACTAAAATGTGACTCCACAATTACAAAGTTACAAATTGGACATTGTTGGCGTGTAAATTGAATAGTTTCATGGCATAAAATAAAATACAAAAGGGGCAGTTATGGAATTAAACATGAACTATCATTTATTTAGAGAAACAAATGATCCAAACTGAGTCTGCGTAAAACAGAGACCTTTCACAACGGTGCTGACATAACGGCGCCCCCTCCTGGCTGAATAATGGTACTACATCAACATTAATCATAATGTCAGGCTGAGATGATACAAAGTGAAAGCACAAAACAAGAAAGTTTAATAAAACATGTCAATAATTCAATTTACATTCATTTCGACAAGTTTAGAGCTTGATGTTGTAGAGAACTCAGTGTCTCTGGATGTTTTTCTAAATACTACAAACATGCATTTTCACAGTATTGTATGAACTTACTGAAAATGTTAAAGAGTGTATTATAACGAAGCTGTTACAATGTGGAGGCTGGACTCGACTGGATTAAACTGCCTCCATGGATCTATCAGACTGCCTCCCACAAATTGTAAAAGAAAACTCTCCTGCTGTCTCTTCTGTCCTCAGATCACTGCTGTGTTGCACCTCCTGCTGGAGATTCAGCAGAAGACAAGGCCTCTGCTTTTAGGGCACATTTATGTTTCTTTAGTTGGATTCTTTGAATGAAGGCTTTTCTACAGATGTCACATTGATAAGGTTTCTCTCCAGTGTGAATACGTTTATGTAACTTTAGACTACTGCTCTGTGTGAAAGACTTCTCACAAACATCACACTGATAAGGTCTTAGCCCAGAATGAGTGCGTTTATGTGTATTTCGATGACCACTGTCTCTAAATGACTTTCCACAGACAACACAAGAGAAAGGTTTTTCTCCAGTGTGAACACGTTTATGTGACTTTAGACTACTGCGGTGTGTGAAAGACTTCTCACAAACATCACAATGATAAGGTCTTAGCCCAGAATGAGTGCGTTTATGAACGTTTAAGACACTTAATTTGGCAAATGACTTTTCACACAAACATCACATGAATAAGATCTCACTCTCAGCCCAGTGTGAGTGCGTTTGTGTATCTTTAGACTACCACTCTGTGTGAAAGACTTTTCACAAACATCACATTGATATGGTTTTTCCCCAGTGTGAGTGCGTTTATGAACGTATAGGCTACTTGATTGGGCAAATGACTTTTCACAAAAATCACATGAATGAGGTCTCAGCCCAGTGTGAGCGCGTTTATGTACCGTTAGAGTACCACTCTGTGTGAAAGACTTCTCACAAACATCACATTGAAAAGGTTTTTCTCCAGTGTGAATATGTATATGTCTCTTTAGATTATGGCTCCATGTGAAAGACTTCTCACAAACATCACATTGATACGGTTTCTCCCCAGTGTGAGTCTTTTTATGTCTTTTTAGTCTAGACTTGTACCTAAAACCTTTTCCACCAGAAATCACAGCAGAGCAGCCGCTGTCCAGACTGTGTCACTTCTTTCTGATTTGAATCTTTCTTCTTCCAACCTCTTGATGGTGTTGCTCCATGTCTCACCCACGTCTCGTTGCTGTCGTCACTGTCTAAAAAAGGGTCTGTCTGTCGTCCGTCTACAGACAGACTCTGATTTGAACTGAGCTGGAGCTGAGAGATGTTCACCTCGGGGGCAGCTGCCGAGAGAGAAAACAGAAAATATTATGTAGAACTATCATTTCACTCGCAGACTAATGTAATAATAAGAAAATACACACAGACCTGTCCCACAGGCATCACTGCAGTGTGGCGTCACTTCAGACTGTGTCACCTCCTCTGTTTTAACTGAATCTTTATTCTGCCAACCTCTTGATGGTGTTGCTCTTGTTTCGTCTTGTTCTTGTTGAATGTTTTCCAATTTCACATTAAAGCAGTCGCCAAAGTCCTGCTCTTGAATAACACCTGTTCCTGAGAACTCTGTGTTTCCACTGGTTCCAGCCACAAGCGCTTCAGAGATGTTAATCTGAAAGACTGCTGTCAACAGAGAACACACTTTTTACTACCAGAAATAGCATTTATTTTAAACATATCTACTATTCGGTCGTTTATTGTCATAATATTACTGAAATGAATATCTAATAAAATGCAAGTGATTCTTGAAGTAATGCAGTTATTTCAACGCGTTTAACGAACAATCAATAAAAACACGATGATGACGTAACTTTCCCGTACGACACTTTAAAGACAGTTATTTTATGGTCAAATCATACACAGTTTAGTTCATGCAGGACAATAGTTCAGTACATGTAGTGAAGCATGTCCCCAGTCCGTGTATGTTTCATTGAGTGTGTGTTTAGCCTCAAACCTGAAGTGAGACTGGGACAGTCCAGGAGTGTCCCCTGGTCCTCTGGGAGCAGGGCCCTCTCCACAGCCCTCTCCACCAGGCTCTCCACCTGCCCCAACATCTCCTGCACTGCACACTTTATACTCTGGTACAAAGACGAGCTCAGCTGCTGCTTTAGTCTGTCCTTAAAAGACGCCATTGTCCAGAAAACACCAGTAAATATATCGACAGTAATCAAACTTTTCACCTCAATAACCGCGAAATGTACAACACGTGACCCAGCTCCGTGAATCTGATTGGTTTCGTTTAATAAACCCCTTTATTAAATTACACAAAAAACAACTACATAATCACGTATTTATTGAGCTATCGTATCAAAATGATGGATTTGTTAAATGTGATATTATTAAAACAATGGGGATAATCACACAATAATGTTATATATGGCTCATTTGTTAATACATACTTCGGGATTTAATAATGTAAATGTAATCAAAAACAAACACAGAAAACATTGAACTGCATGCAAAAAGTGCACATCACAAAGCAATAAACCGAGTCAAGCCAAATCTTTAACATAGCATTGTCAACTCACTTTTCCCCCTCCAATAAAAGCGTATTTAATATTTATTGGTCTTTATCGGTTATGATTTAGTAACATGCATCACCCAACAGAGGGAGCCATAGGACAGATGATTCATATCTTATTTTACCAGCCCATTTTTGTTATACTTTTTTAAACCAACCTCTTCTACAGTAGATTTTAATCTCACCGCAAATGTGTTGTTCTCTGATATTTGTTTGTATTTTTCTATCTATATATGTTGAAGACAGCCACTATTTCAGCTTTCAAACACCTAACAAGTCACATTTGGTTTAGTTAAATATAAGCATAAAGAAAAAGCTCCACCAGGAAATAGGTCCAGCATGTGCAGTGATACGGCCGCTGTATCAAACTGTTGCGGTGAAGAGGGAGCAGCGTCTGCAGTCAGAGCTGTATCAGACTATTGTGGTGAAGAGGGAGCAGTGTCTGCAGTCAAAGCTGTGTCAGACTGTTGTGGTGAAGAGGGAGCAGCGTCTGCAGTCAGAGCTTTATCGAACAGTAGTGTTGAACTGAAGCTGAGACAAAAAGCTGCTGATTCACCGGTCAATCTGCGTTCCCACTTTCACTTATACTCATGAGCTTTGGGTAATGCCTGAAATGACAAGATTGCAGACACAAACGGTCAAAATGAGAGAGCTGCTCTGTGTTCCCTTTGAGATATAGGGTGAAGAGCTCAGAGTAGAGCCGCTGCTTCTCAGGCATCTGTTTGGGATGCCTCCGTGGACGCCTCTCTGGGGAGTTCTTTGGGGGCATGTCACACCGGGAGGAGACCCTGCAGGAGACTCAGGACACGCTGGAGGGTCTGGCCTGGGAACGCCTCAGGAATAATAATAATTGGTTTTATATAGTGCTTTTCTGGACACTCAAAGACGCCTCACATAATTCTTTCACTTCATACACGGGGGTGATAAACAACTATGTAGCCACAGCTGCCCTGGGGCACACTGACAATCCCCCAGATCAGCTGGAGGAAGTGTGTGCGGATAGGGAAGTCTAGGTGTCTTTCCTTGGACTACCCCTGCGACCCTGGCCACGGATAAAGCGGAAGAAAATGGATGAAAATTATGATATCGTCTCGGTGTAGTCTATCCTTAAAAGACGCAATTGTTCAGATAATATACCAACCGTAATCAAACAGAACGATTTTAACCTTTTTAACCGTTAAATATGCGTCACGTGACCCAGCTCCGTGAATCTGATTGGTTTTGTGTTTTATGAGTTCAACGTTTTGATAAACGTTACTAAAATGTGACTCCACAATTACAAAGTTACAAATTGGACATTGTTGGCGTGTAAATTGAATAGTTTCATGGCATAAAATAAAATACAAAAGGGGCAGTTATGGAATTAAACATGAACTATCATTTATTTAGAGAAACAAATGATCCAAACTGAGTCTGCGTAGAACATAGACCTTTCACAAATGTGCTGACATAACGGCGCCCCCTCCTGGCTGAATAATGGTACTACATCAACATTAATCATGTCAGGCTGAGATGATACAAAGTGAAAGCACAAAACAAGAAAGTTTAATAAAACATGTTAATAATTCAATTTACATTCATTTCGACAAGTTTAGAGCTTGATGTTGTAGAGAACTCAGTGTCTCTGGATGTTTTTCTAAATACTACAAACATGCATTTTCACAGTATTGTATGAACTTACTGAAAATGTTAAAGAGTGTATTATAACGAAGCTGTTACAATGTGGAGGCTGGACTCGACTGGATTAAACTGCCTCCATGGATCTATCAGACTGCCTCCCACAAATTGTAAAAGAAAACTCTCCTGCTGTCTCTTCTGTCCTCAGATCACTGCTGTGTTGCACCTCCTGCTGGAGATTCAGCAGAAGACAAGGCCTCTGCTTTTAGGGCACATTTATGTCGCTTTAGATGGATTCTTTGAATGAAGGCTTTTCTACAGATGTCACATTGATAAGGTTTCTCTCCAGTGTGAATACGTTTATGTAACTTTAGACTACTGCTCTGTGTGAAAGACTTCTCACAAACATCACAATGATGCGGTTTCTCCCCAGTGTGAGTGCGTTTATGCATTATCAGTCCAGACTTGTACCTAAAACCTTTTCCACAGAGACCACAGCAGTGTGGCCGCTGTCCAGACTGTGTCACTTCTTTTTGATCTGAATCTTTCTTCTTCCAACCTCTTGATGGTGTTGCTCCATGTTTCACCCACCAAGTCTCGTTGCTGTCGTCACTGTCTAAAAAAGGGTCTGTCTGTCGTCCGTCTACAGACAGACTCTGATTTGAACTGAGCTGGAGCTGAGAGATGTTCACCTCGGGGGCAGCTGCAGAGAGAGAAAACAGAAAATATTATGTAGAACTATCATTTCACTCAAAGACTAATGTAATAATAAGAAAATACACACAGACCTGTCCCACAGGCATCACTGCAGTGTGGCGTCACTTCAGACTGTGTCACCTCCTCTGTTTTAACTGAATCTTTATTCTGCCAACCTCTTGATGGTGTTGCTCTTGTTTCGTCTTGTTCTTGTTGAATGTTTTCCAATTTCACATTAAAGCAGTCGCCAAAGTCCTGCTCTTGAATAACACCTGTTCCTGAGAACTCTGTGTTTCCACTGGTTCCAGCCACAAGCGCTTCAGAGATGTTGATCTGAAAGACTGCTGTCAACAGAGAACACACTTTTTACTACCAGAAATAGCATTTATTTTAAACATATCTACTATTCGGTCGTTTATTGTCATAATATTACTGAAATGAATATCTAATAAAATGCAAGTGATTCTTGAAGTAATGCAGTTATTTCAACGCGTTTAACGAACAATCAATAAAAACACGATGATGACGTAACTTTCCCGTACGACACTTTAAAGACAGTTATTTTATGGTCAAATCATACACAGTTTAGTTCATGCAGGACAATAGTTCAGTACATGTAGTGAAGCATGTCCCCAGTCCGTGTATGTTTCATTGAGTGTGTGTTTAGCCTCAAACCTGAAGTGAGACTGGGACAGTCCAGGAGTGTCCCCTGGTCCTCTGGGAGCAGGGCCCTCTCCACAGCCCTCTCCACCAGGCTCTCCACCTGCCCCAACATCTCCTGCACTGCACACTTTATACTCTGGTACAAAGACGAGCTCAGCTGCTGCTTTAGTCTGTCCTTAAAAGACGCCATTGTCCAGAAAACACCAGTAAATATATCGACAGTAATCAAACTTTTCACCTCAATAACCGCGAAATGTACAACACGTGACCCAGCTCCGTGAATCTGATTGGTTTTGTTTAATAAACCCCTTTATTAAATTACACAAAAAACAACTACATAATCACGTATTTATTGAGCTATCGTATCAAAATGATGGATTTGTTAAATGTGATATTATTAAAACAATGGGGATAATCACACAATAATGTTATATATGGCTCATTTGTTAATACATACTTCGGGATTTAATAATGTAAATGTAATCAAAAACAAACACAGAAAACATTGAACTGCATGCAAAAAGTGCACATCACAAAGCAATAAACCGAGTCAAGCCAAATCTTTAACATAGCATTGTCAACTCACTTTTCCCCCTCCAATAAAAGCGTATTTAATATTTATTGGTCTTTATCGGTTATGATTTAGTAACATGCATCACCCAACAGAGGGAGCCATAGGACAGATGATTCATATCTTATTTTACCATCCCATTTTTCTGTTATACTTTTTTAAACCAACCTCTTCTACAGTAGATTTTAATCTCACCGCAAATGTGTTGTTCTCTGATATTTGTTTGTATTTTTCTATCTATATATGTTGAAGACAGCCACTATTTCAGCTTTCAAACACCTAACAAGTCACATTTGGTTTAGTTAAATATAAGCATAAAGAAAAAGCTCCACCAGGAAAAAGGTCCAGCATGTGCAGTGATACGGCCGCTGTATCAAACTGTTGCGGTGAAGAGGGAGCAGCGTCTGCAGTCAGAGCTGTATCAGACTATATTGTGGTGAAGAGGGAGCAGTGTCTGCAGTCAAAGCTGTGTCAGACTGTTGTGGTGAAGAGGGAGCAGCGTCTGCAGTCAGAGCTTTATCGAACAGTAGTGTTGAACTGAAGCTGAGACAAAAAGCTGCTGATTCACCGGTCAATCTGCGTTCCCACTTTCACTTATGCTCATGAGCTTTGGGTAATGCCTGAAATGACAAGATTGCAGACACAAACGGTCAAAATGAGAGAGCTGCTCTGTGTTCCCTTTGAGATATAGGGTGAAGAGCTCAGAGTAGAGTCGCTGCTTCTCAGGCATCTGTTTGGGATGCCTCCGTGGACGCCTCTCTGGGGAGTTCTTTGGGGGCATGTCACACCGGGAGGAGACCCTGCAGGAGACTCAGGACACGCTGGAGGGTCTGGCCTGGGAAAGCCTCAGGAATAATAATAATTGGTTTTATATAGTGCTTTTCTGGACACTCAAAGACGCCTCACATAATTCTTTCACTCCATACACGGGGGTGATAAACAACTATGTAGCCACAGCTGCCCTGGGGCACACTGACAATCCCCCAGATGAGCTGGAGGAAGTGTGTGTGGATAGGGAAGTCTAGGTGTCTTTGCTTGGACTACCCCTGCGACCCTGGCCACGGATAAAGCGGAAGAAAATGGATGAAAATTAAGATATCGTCTCGGTGTAGTCTATCCTTAAAAGACGCAATTGTTCAGATAATATACCAACCGTAATCAAACAGAACGATTTTAACCTTTTTAACCGTTAAATGTGCGTCACGTGACCCAGCTCCGAGAATCTGATTGGTTTTGTGTTTTATATGAGTTCAACGTTTTGATAAACGTTACTAAAATGTGACTCCACAATTACAAAGTTACAAATTGGACATTGTTGGCGTGTAAATTGAATAGTTTCATGGCATAAAATAAAATACAAAAGGGGCAGTTATGGAATTAAACATGAACTATCATTTATTTAGAGAAACAAATGATCCAAACTGAGTCTGCGTAAAACAGAGACCTTTCACAACGGTGCTGACATAACGGCGCCCCCTCCTGGCTGAATAATGGTACTACATCAACATTAATCATAATGTCAGGCTGAGATGATACAAAGTGAAAGCACAAAACAAGAAAGTTTAATAAAACATGTCAATAATTCAATTTACATTCATTTCGACAAGTTTAGAGCTTGATGTTGTAGAGAACTCAGTGTCTCTGGATGTTTTTCTAAATACTACAAACATGCATTTTCACAGTATTGTATGAACTTACTGAAAATGTTAAAGAGTGTATTATAACGAAGCTGTTACAATGTGGAGGCTGGACTCGACTGGATTAAACTGCCTCCATGGATCTATCAGACTGCCTCCCACAAATTGTAAAAGAAAACTCTCCTGCTGTCTCTTCTGTCCTCAGATCACTGCTGTGTTGCACCTCCTGCTGGAGATTCAGCAGAAGACAAGGCCTCTGCTTTTAGGGCACATTTATGTTTCTTTAGTTGGATTCTTTGAATGAAGGCTTTTCTACAGATGTCACATTGATAAGGTTTCTCTCCAGTGTGAATACGTTTATGTAACTTTAGACTACTGCTCTGTGTGAAAGACTTCTCACAAACATCACACTGATAAGGTCTTAGCCCAGAATGAGTGCGTTTATGTGTATTTCGATGACCACTGTCTCTAAATGACTTTCCACAGACAACACAAGAGAAAGGTTTTTCTCCAGTGTGAACACGTTTATGTGACTTTAGACTACTGCGGTGTGTGAAAGACTTCTCACAAACATCACAATGATAAGGTCTTAGCCCAGAATGAGTGCGTTTATGAACGTTTAAGACACTTAATTTGGCAAATGACTTTTCACAAACATCACATGAATAAGATCTCACTCTCAGCCCAGTGTGAGTGCGTTTGTGTATCTTTAGACTACCACTCTGTGTGAAAGACTTTTCACAAACATCACATTGATATGGTTTTTCCCCAGTGTGAGTGCGTTTATGAACGTATAGGCTACTTGATTGGGCAAATGACTTTTCACAAAAATCACATGAATGAGGTCTCAGCCCAGTGTGAGCGCGTTTATGTACCGTTAGAGTACCACTCTGTGTGAAAGACTTCTCACAAACATCACATTGAAAAGGTTTTTCTCCAGTGTGAATATGTATATGTCTCTTTAGATTATGGCTCCATGTGAAAGACTTCTCACAAACATCACATTGATACGGTTTCTCCCCAGTGTGAGTCTTTTTATGTCTTTTTAGTCTAGACTTGTACCTAAAACCTTTTCCACAGAAATCACAGCAGAGCAGCCGCTGTCCAGACTGTGTCACTTCTTTCTGATTTGAATCTTTCTTCTTCCAACCTCTTGATGGTGTTGCTCCATGTCTCACCCACGTCTCGTTGCTGTCGTCACTGTCTAAAAAAGGGTCTGTCTGTCGTCCGTCTACAGACAGACTCTGATTTGAACTGAGCTGGAGCTGAGAGATGTTCACCTCGGGGGCAGCTGCCGAGAGAGAAAACAGAAAATATTATGTAGAACTATCATTTCACTCGCAGACTAATGTAATAATAAGAAAATACACACAGACCTGTCCCACAGGCATCACTGCAGTGTGGCGTCACTTCAGACTGTGTCACCTCCTCTGTTTTAACTGAATCTTTATTCTGCCAACCTCTTGATGGTGTTGCTCTTGTTTCGTCTTGTTCTTGTTGAATGTTTTCCAATTTCACATTAAAGCAGTCGCCAAAGTCCTGCTCTTGAATAACACCTGTTCCTGAGAACTCTGTGTTTCCACTGGTTCCAGCCACAAGCGCTTCAGAGATGTTGATCTGAAAGACTGCTGTCAACAGAGAACACACTTTTTACTACCAGAAATAGCATTTATTTTAAACATATCTACTATTCGGTCGTTTATTGTCATAATATTACTGAAATGAATATCTAATAAAATGCAAGTGATTCTTGAAGTAATGCAGTTATTTCAACGCGTTTAACGAACAATCAATAAAAACACGATGATGACGTAACTTTCCCGTACGACACTTTAAAGTCAGTTGTTTTATGGTCAAAACGAATTATACACAGTTTAGTTCATGCAGGACAATAGTTCAGTACATGTAGTGAAGCATGTCCCCAGTCCGTGTATGTTTCATTGAGTGTGTGTTTAGCCTCAAACCTGAAGTGAGACTGGGACAGTCCAGGAGTGTCCCCTGGTCCTCTGGGAGCAGGGCCCTCTCCACAGCCCTCTCCACCAGGCTCTCCACCTGCCCCAACATCTCCTGCACCGCACACTCTATACTCTGGTACAAAGACGAGCTCAGCTGCTGCTTTAGTCTGTCCTTAAAAGACGCCATTGTCCAGAAAACACCAGTAAATATATCGACAGTAATCAAACTTTTCACCTCAATAACCGCGAAATGTACAACACGTGACCCAGCTCCGTGAATCTGATTGGTTTCGTTTAATAAACCCCTTTATTAAATTACACAAAAAACAACTACATAATCACGTATTTATTGAGCTATCGTATCAAAATGATGGATTTGTTAAATGTGATATTATTAAAACAATGGGGATAATCACACAATAATGTTATATATGGCTCATTTGTTAATACATACTTCGGGATTTAATAATGTAAATGTAATCAAAAACAAACACAGAAAACATTGAACTGCATGCAAAAAGTGCACATCACAAAGCAATAAACCGAGTCAAGCCAAATCTTTAACATAGCATTGTCAACTCACTTTTCCCCCTCCAATAAAAGCGTATTTAATATTTATTGGTCTTTATCGGTTATGATTTAGTAACATGCATCACCCAACAGAGGGAGCCATAGGACAGATGATTCATATCTTATTTTACCAGCCCATTTTTCTGTTATACTTTTTTAAACCAACCTCTTCTACAGTAGATTTTAATCTCACCGCAAATGTGTTGTTCTCTGATATTTTTTTGTATTTTTCTATCTATATATGTTGAAGACAGCCACTATTTCAGCTTTCAAACACCTAACAAGTCACATTTGGTTTAGTTAAATATAAGCATAAAGAAAAAGCTCCACCAGGAAAAAAGGTCCAGCATGTGCAGTGATACGGCCGCTGTATCAAACTGTTGCGGTGAAGAGGGAGCAGCGTCTGCAGTCAGAGCTGTATCAGACTATATTGTGGTGAAGAGGGAGCAGTGTCTGCAGTCAAAGCTGTGTCAGACTGTTGTGGTGAAGAGGGAGCAGCGTCTGCAGTCAGAGCTTTATCGAACAGTAGTGTTGAACTGAAGCTGAGACAAAAAGCTGCTGATTCACCGGTCAATCTGCGTTCCCACTTTCACTTATGCTCATGAGCTTTGGGTAATGCCTGAAATGACAAGATTGCAGACACAAACGGTCAAAATGAGAGAGCTGCTCTGTGTTCCCTTTGAGATATAGGGTGAAGAGCTCAGAGTAGAGTCGCTGCTTCTCAGGCATCTGTTTGGGATGCCTCCGTGGACGCCTCTCTGGGGAGTTCTTTGGGGGCATGTCACACCGGGAGGAGACCCTGCAGGAGACTCAGGACACGCTGGAGGGTCTGGCCTGGGAAACGCCTCAGGAATAATAATAATTGGTTTTATATAGTGCTTTTCTGGACACTCAAAGACGCCTCACATAATTCTTTCACTCCATACACGGGGGTGATAAACAACTATGTAGCCACAGCTGCCCTGGGGCACACTGACAATCCCCCAGATCAGCTGGAGGAAGTGTGTGCGGATAGGGAAGTCTAGGTGTCTTTCCTTGGACTACCCCTGCGACCCTGGCCACGGATAAAGCGGAAGAAAATGGATGAAAATTAAGATATCGTCTCGGTGTAGTCTATCCTTAAAAGACGCAATTGTTCAGATAATATACCAACCGTAATCAAACAGAACGATTTTAACCTTTTTAACCGTTAAATGTGCGTCACGTGACCCAGCTCCGAGAATCTGATTGGTTTTGTGTTTTATATGAGTTCAACGTTTTGATAAACGTTACTAAAATGTGACTCCACAATTACAAAGTTACAAATTGGACATTGTTGGCGTGTAAATTGAATAGTTTCATGGCATAAAATAAAATACAAAAGGGGCAGTTATGGAATTAAACATGAACTATCATTTATTTAGAGAAACAAATGATCCAAACTGAGTCTGCGTAAAACAGAGACCTTTCACAACGGTGCTGACATAACGGCGCCCCCTCCTGGCTGAATAATGGTACTACATCAACATTAATCATAATGTCAGGCTGAGATGATACAAAGTGAAAGCACAAAACAAGAAAGTTTAATAAAACATGTCAATAATTCAATTTACATTCATTTCGACAAGTTTAGAGCTTGATGTTGTAGAGAACTCAGTGTCTCTGGATGTTTTTCTAAATACTACAAACATGCATTTTCACAGTATTGTATGAACTTACTGAAAATGTTAAAGAGTGTATTATAACGAAGCTGTTACAATGTGGAGGCTGGACTCGACTGGATTAAACTGCCTCCATGGATCTATCAGACTGCCTCCCACAAATTGTAAAAGAAAACTCTCCTGCTGTCTCTTCTGTCCTCAGATCACTGCTGTGTTGCACCTCCTGCTGGAGATTCAGCAGAAGACAAGGCCTCTGCTTTTAGGGCACATTTATGTTTCTTTAGTTGGATTCTTTGAATGAAGGCTTTTCTACAGATGTCACATTGATAAGGTTTCTCTCCAGTGTGAATACGTTTATGTAACTTTAGACTACTGCTCTGTGTGAAAGACTTCTCACAAACATCACACTGATAAGGTCTTAGCCCAGAATGAGTGCGTTTATGTGTATTTCGATGACCACTGTCTCTAAATGACTTTCCACAGACAACACAAGAGAAAGGTTTTTCTCCAGTGTGAACACGTTTATGTGACTTTAGACTACTGCGGTGTGTGAAAGACTTCTCACAAACATCACAATGATAAGGTCTTAGCCCAGAATGAGTGCGTTTATGAACGTTTAAGACACTTAATTTGGCAAATGACTTTTCACAAACATCACATGAATAAGATCTCACTCTCAGCCCAGTGTGAGTGCGTTTGTGTATCTTTAGACTACCACTCTGTGTGAAAGACTTTTCACAAACATCACATTGATATGGTTTTTCCCCAGTGTGAGTGCGTTTATGAACGTATAGGCTACTTGATTGGGCAAATGACTTTTCACAAAAATCACATGAATGAGGTCTCAGCCCAGTGTGAGCGCGTTTATGTACCGTTAGAGTACCACTCTGTGTGAAAGACTTCTCACAAACATCACATTGAAAAGGTTTTTCTCCAGTGTGAATATGTATATGTCTCTTTAGATTATGGCTCCATGTGAAAGACTTCTCACAAACATCACATTGATACGGTTTCTCCCCAGTGTGAGTCTTTTTATGTCTTTTTAGTCTAGACTTGTACCTAAAACCTTTTCCCACAGAAATCACAGCAGAGCAGCCGCTGTCCAGACTGTGTCACTTCTTTCTGATTTGAATCTTTCTTCTTCCAACCTCTTGATGGTGTTGCTCCATGTCTCACCCACGTCTCGTTGCTGTCGTCACTGTCTAAAAAAGGGTCTGTCTGTCGTCCGTCTACAGACAGACTCTGATTTGAACTGAGCTGGAGCTGAGAGATGTTCACCTCGGGGGCAGCTGCCGAGAGAGAAAACAGAAAATATTATGTAGAACTATCATTTCACTCGCAGACTAATGTAATAATAAGAAAATACACACAGACCTGTCCCACAGGCATCACTGCAGTGTGGCGTCACTTCAGACTGTGTCACCTCCTCTGTTTTAACTGAATCTTTATTCTGCCAACCTCTTGATGGTGTTGCTCTTGTTTCGTCTTGTTCTTGTTGAATGTTTTCCAATTTCACATTAAAGCAGTCGCCAAAGTCCTGCTCTTGAATAACACCTGTTCCTGAGAACTCTGTGTTTCCACTGGTTCCAGCCACAAGCGCTTCAGAGATGTTAATCTGAAAGACTGCTGTCAACAGAGAACAAACTTTTTAGTACCAGAAATAGCATTTATTTTAAACATATCTACTATTCGGTCGTTTATTGTCATAATATTACTGAAATGAATATCTAATAAAATGCAAGTGATTCTTGAAGTAATGCAGTTATTTCAACGCGTTTAACGAACAATCAATAAAAACACGATGATGACGTAACTTTCCCGTACGACACTTTAAAGTCAGTTATTTTATGGTCAAAACGAATTATACACAGTTTAGTTCATGCAGGACAATAGTTCAGTACATGTAGTGAAGCATGTCCCCAGTCCGTGTATGTTTCATTGAGTGTGTGTTTAGCCTCAAACCTGAAGTGAGACTGGGACAGTCCAGGAGTGTCCCCTGGTCCTCTGGGAGCAGGGCCCTCTCCACAGCCCTCTCCACCAGGCTCTCCACCTGCCCCAACATCTCCTGCACCGCACACTCTATACTCTGGTACAAAGACGAGCTCAGCTGCTGCTTTAGTCTGTCCTTAAAAGACGCCATTGTCCAGAAAACACCAGTAAATATATCGACAGTAATCAAACTTTTCACCTCAATAACCGCGAAATGTACAACACGTGACCCAGCTCCGTGAATCTGATTGGTTTCGTTTAATAAACCCCTTTATTAAATTACACAAAAAACAACTACATAATCACGTATTTATTGAGCTATCGTATCAAAATGATGGATTTGTTAAATGTGATATTATTAAAACAATGGGGATAATCACACAATAATGTTATATATGGCTCATTTGTTAATACATACTTCGGGATTTAATAATGTAAATGTAATCAAAAACAAACACAGAAAACATTGAACTGCATGCAAAAAGTGCACATCACAAAGCAATAAACCGAGTCAAGCCAAATCTTTAACATAGCATTGTCAACTCACTTTTCCCCCTCCAATAAAAGCGTATTTAATATTTATTGGTCTTTATCGGTTATGATTTAGTAACATGCATCACCCAACAGAGGGAGCCATAGGACAGATGATTCATATCTTATTTTACCAGCCCATTTTTCTGTTATACTTTTTTAAACCAACCTCTTCTACAGTAGATTTTAATCTCACCGCAAATGTGTTGTTCTCTGATATTTTTTTGTATTTTTCTATCTATATATGTTGAAGACAGCCACTATTTCAGCTTTCAAACACCTAACAAGTCACATTTGGTTTAGTTAAATATAAGCATAAAGAAAAAGCTCCACCAGGAAAAAGGTCCAGCATGTGCAGTGATACGGCCGCTGTATCAAACTGTTGCGGTGAAGAGGGAGCAGCGTCTGCAGTCAGAGCTGTATCAGACTATATTGTGGTGAAGAGGGAGCAGTGTCTGCAGTCAAAGCTGTGTCAGACTGTTGTGGTGAAGAGGGAGCAGCGTCTGCAGTCAGAGCTTTATCGAACAGTAGTGTTGAACTGAAGCTGAGACAAAAAGCTGCTGATTCACCGGTCAATCTGCGTTCCCACTTTCACTTATGCTCATGAGCTTTGGGTAATGCCTGAAATGACAAGATTGCAGACACAAACGGTCAAAATGAGAGAGCTGCTCTGTGTTCCCTTTGAGATATAGGGTGAAGAGCTCAGAGTAGAGTCGCTGCTTCTCAGGCATCTGTTTGGGATGCCTCCTGGGACGCCTCTCTGGGGAGTTCTTTGGGGGCATGTCACACCGGGAGGAGACCCTGCAGGAGACTCAGGACACGCTGGAGGGTCTGGCCTGGGAACGCCTCAGGAATAATAATAATTGGTTTTATATAGTGCTTTTCTGGACACTCAAAGACGCCTCACATAATTCTTTCACTCCATACACGGGGGTGATAAACAACTATGTAGCCACAGCTGCCCTGGGGCACACTGACAATCCCCCAGATCAGCTGGAGGAAGTGTGTGCGGATAGGGAAGTCTAGGTGTCTTTCCTTGGACTACCCCTGCGACCCTGGCCACGGATAAAGCGGAAGAAAATGGATGAAAATTAAGATATCGTCTCGGTGTAGTCTATCCTTAAAAGACGCAATTGTTCAGATAATATACCAACCGTAATCAAACAGAACGATTTTAACCTTTTTAACCGTTAAATGTGCGTCACGTGACCCAGCTCCGAGAATCTGATTGGTTTTGTGTTTTATATGAGTTCAACGTTTTGATAAACGTTACTAAAATGTGACTCCACAATTACAAAGTTACAAATTGGACATTGTTGGCGTGTAAATTGAATAGTTTCATGGCATAAAATAAAATACAAAAGGGGCAGTTATGGAATTAAACATGAACTATCATTTATTTAGAGAAACAAATGATCCAAACTGAGTCTGCGTAAAACAGAGACCTTTCACAACGGTGCTGACATAACGGCGCCCCCTCCTGGCTGAATAATGGTACTACATCAACATTAATCATAATGTCAGGCTGAGATGATACAAAGTGAAAGCACAAAACAAGAAAGTTTAATAAAACATGTCAATAATTCAATTTACATTCATTTCGACAAGTTTAGAGCTTGATGTTGTAGAGAACTCAGTGTCTCTGGATGTTTTTCTAAATACTACAAACATGCATTTTCACAGTATTGTATGAACTTACTGAAAATGTTAAAGAGTGTATTATAACGAAGCTGTTACAATGTGGAGGCTGGACTCGACTGGATTAAACTGCCTCCATGGATCTATCAGACTGCCTCCCACAAATTGTAAAAGAAAACTCTCCTGCTGTCTCTTCTGTCCTCAGATCACTGCTGTGTTGCACCTCCTGCTGGAGATTCAGCAGAAGACAAGGCCTCTGCTTTTAGGGCACATTTATGTCGCTTTAGATGGATTCTTTGAATGAAGGCTTTTCTACAGATGTCACATTGATAAGGTTTCTCTCCAGTGTGAATACGTTTATGTGACTTTAGACTACTGCTCTGTGTGAAAGACTTCTCACAAACATCACACTGATAAGGTCTTAGCCCAGAATGAGTGCGTTTATGTTTATTTCGATGACCACTGTCTCTAAATGACTTTCCACAGACAACACAAGAGAAAGGTTTTTCTCCAGTGTGAACACGTTTATGTGACTTTAGACTACTGCTCTGTGTGAAAGACTTCTCACAAACATCACAATGATGCGGTTTCTCCCCAGTGTGAGTGCGTTTATGCATTATCAGTCCAGACTTGTACCTAAAACCTTTTCCACAGAGACCACAGCAGTGTGGCCGCTGTCCAGACTGTGTCACTTCTTTTTGATCTGAATCTTTCTTCTTCCAACCTCTTGATGGTGTTGCTCCATGTTTCACCCACCAAGTCTCGTTGCTGTCGTCACTGTCTAAAAAAGGGTCTGTCTGTCGTCCGTCTACAGACTGACTCTGATTTGAACCGAGCTGGAGCTGAGAGATGTTCACCTCGGGGGCAGCTGCAGAGAGAGAAAACACAAATATTATGTAGAACTATCATTTCACTCGCAGACTCATGTAATAATAAGAAAATACACACAGACCTGTCCCACAGACATCACTGCAGTGTGGCGTCACTTCAGACTGTGTCACCTCCTCTTTTTTAACTGAATCTTTATTCTTCCAACCTCTTGATGGTGTTGCTCTTGTTTCGTCTCGTTCTTGTTGATTGTTTTCCACTTTCACATTAAAGCAGTCGCCAAAGTCCTGCTCTTGAATAACACCTGTTCCTGAGAACTCTGTGTTTTTACTGGTTCCAGCCACAAGTGCTTCATTTGATCTGAGGTGGGCTTCAGAGATGTTGATCTGAGAGACTGCTGTCAACAGAGAACAGAAAATAATATGTACAAATTTATTTCATAAAATTACTATGCTATGAATTACTATCATATTATTGTTCATAATAACATCCAATAAAAAGTGACTATATATTTGATCTCTTGAATGTAACAGTACAATTATTCACAGTCTATGATAAAAACGACATGACATTTACCCGCTATAAACAAATTATAAGCTAAAATATTATATAAGCTTTTATACATTTTTATATAAGACATCGAATGAACAATATGAATTATACACAGTTTAGTTCATGCAGGACAATAGTTCAGTACATGTAGTGAAGCATGTCCCCAGTCCGTGTATGTTTCATTGAGTGTGTGTTTAGCCTCAAACCTGAAGTGAGACTGGGACAGTCCAGGAGTGTCCCCTGGTCCTCTGGGAGCAGGGCCCTCTCCACAGCCCTCTCCACCAGGCTCTCCACCTGCCCCAACATCTCCTGCATCGCACACTTTATACTCTGGTACAAAGACGAGCTCAGCTGCTGCTTTAGTCTGTCCTTAAAAGACGCCATTGTCCAGAAAACACCAGTAAATATATCGACAGTAATCAAACTTTTCACCTCAATAACCGCGAAATGTACAACACGTGACCCAGCTCCGTGAATCTGATTGGTTTCGTTTAATAAACCCCTTTATTAAATTACACAAAAAACAACTACATAATCACGTATTTATTGAGCTATCGTATCAAAATGATGGATTTGTTAAATGTGATATTATTAAAACAATGGGGATAATCACACAATAATGTTATATATGGCTCATTTGTTAATACATACTTCGGGATTTAATAATGTAAATGTAATAAAAAACAAACACAGGAAACATTGAACATTGAACATTGAAGTGCACATCACAAAGCAATAAACCGAGTCAAGCCAAATCTTTAACATAGCATTGTCAACTCACTTTTCCCCCTCCAATAAAAGCGTATTTAATATTTATTGGTCTTTATCGGTTATGATTTAGTAACATGCATCACCCAACAGAGGGAGCCATAGGACAGATGATTCATATCTTATTTTACCAGCCCATTTTTCTGTTATACTTTTTTAAACCAACCTCTTCTACAGTAGATTTTAATCTCACCGCAAATGTGTTGTTCTCTGATATTTTTTTTTACAAACTGAGTCTGCGTAGAACATAGACCTTTCACAACGGTGCTGACATTATAACGGCACCCCCTCCTGGCTGAATAACGGTACTACATCAACATTAATCATGTCAGGCTGAGATGATACAAAGTGAAAGCACAAAACAAGAAAGTTTAATAAAACATGTCAATAATTCAATTTACATCAATTTCGAAAAGTTTAGAGCTTGTTGTTGTAGAAAACTCAGTGTCTCTGGATGTTTTTCTAAATACTACAAACATGCATTTTCACAGCACCACTATTATCGAAATAGAGCAGACATCATGCATCTGCTCTGTACCTTTTTCCATTAAGTTTTATGATCAGAAGCAAAACATGAACAATATTTTATGAACTTACTGAAAATGTTAAAGAGTGTATAAGAACAAAGCTGTTACAATGTGGAGGCTGGACTCGACTGGTTTAAGCTGCCTCCCACAAAAAGTAAAAGAAAACTCAGAAAAGACAGCAGGGCGGCACGCTGGCTGAGTGGATCGCACTCTCGTCTCTCAGCAAGAAGGTCCTGGGTTCGAATCCTGGTCGGACCAGGGCCTGTCTGAGTGGAGTTGGCATGTTCTCCCCGTGTCTGCGTAGGTTTCCTCCGGGTACTCCAGTTTCCACTACCACTAAATATATGTACAATAGGTCTGGCATGCACCTCCTGTTCAGCAACCCCACTCCCATCTCTGTGTGGAGTGAGAGACGAATACCCAAAATATAACAATTGTAAACCGCTTTGTGACTCTGGTCTGTGAAAGGCGATATATAAAGATTACTACTACTTACTCAGATCACTGCTCTGTGTTGCACCTCCTGCTGGAGATTCAGCCAAGGACATGCCCTCTGCTTTTAGAGCACATTTATGTCGCTTTAGTCAAATTCTACGAGTGAAGGCTTTTCTACAGATGTCACAGGAGTAAGGTTTCCCTCCAGTGTGAATAGGTTTATTTTTCTTTAGATCACCATTTGAAAGACTTCTCACAAATCTCACACTGATACGGTTTTAGCCCAGAGTGCGTGCGTTTATGTTTTAGATGATAATTTTGTCTAAATGCCTTTCCACAGACAACACAGGAGAAAGGTTTCTCTCCAGTGTGAATACGTTTAAGTGTCTCTAGACTACTGCTCTGTGAAAAACATATCAAAAATCTCATACTGAAAAGGTTTTTCCCCAGTGTGAGTGCGTTTATGAACGTTTAAGACACTTAATTTGGCAAATGACTTTTCACAAACATCACATGAATAAGATCTCACTCTCAGCCCAGTGTGAGTGCGTTTGTGTATCTTTAGACTACCACTCTGTGTGAAAGACTTTTCACAAACATCACATTGATACGGTTTTTCCCCAGTGTGAGTGCGTTTATGAACGTATAGGCTACTTGATTGGGCAAATGACTTTTCACAAAAATCACATGAATGAGGTCTCAGCCCAGTGTGAGCGCGTTTATGTACCGTTAGAGTACCACTCTGTGTGAAAGACTTCTCACAAACATCACATTGAAAAGGTTTTTCTCCAGTGTGAATATGTATATGTCTCTTTAGATTACGGCTACATTTGAAAGACTTCTCACAAACATCACATTGATACGGTTTCTCCCCAGTGTGAGTCTTTTTATGTCTTTTTAGTCTAGACTTGTACCTAAAACCTTTTCCACAGAGATCACAGGAGAAAGGTTTCTCTCCAGTGTGAGTGTTTTTATGTATTTTTAGTTTAGACTTGCACCTAAAACCTTTTCCACAGAGATCACAGGAGAAAGGTTTCTCTCCAGTGTGAGTGTTTTTATGTCTTTTTAGTCCAAACTTGTACCTAAAACCTTTTCCACAGAGATCACAGGAGAAAGGTTTCTCTCCAGTGTGAGTGCGTTTATGCATTATCAGTCCAGACTTGTACCTAAAACCTTTTCCACAGAGATCACAGCAGAGCAGCCGCTGTCCAGACTGTGTCACTTCTTTCTGATTTGAATCTTTCTTCTTCCAACCTCTTGATGGTGTTGCTCCATGTCTCACCCACGTCTCGTTGCTGTCGTCACTGTCTAAAAAAGGGTCTGTCTGTCGTCCGTCTACAGACAGACTCTGATTTGAACTGAGCTGGAGCTGAGAGATGTTCACCTCGGGGGCAGCTGCCGAGAGAGAAAACAGAAAATATTACGTAGAACTATCATTTCACTCAAAGACTAATGTAATAATAAGAAAATACACACAGACCTGTCCCACAGGCATCACTGCAGTGTGGCGTCACTTCAGACTGTGTCACCTCCTCTGTTTTAACTGAATCTTTATTCTGCCAACCTCTTGATGGTGTTGCTCTTGTTTCGTCTTGTTCTTGTTGAATGTTTTCCACTTTCACATTAAAGCAGTCGCCAAAGTCCTGCTCTTGAATAACACCTGTTCCTGAGAACTCTGTGTTTCCACTGGTTCCAGCCACAAGCGCTTCAGAGATGTTGATCTGAAAGACTGCTGTCAACAGAGAACACACTTTTTACTACCAGAAATAGCATTTATTTTAAACATATCTACTATTCGGTCGTTTATTGTCATAATATTACTGAAATGAATATCTAATAAAATGCAAGTGATTCTTGAAGTAATGCAGTTATTTCAACGCGTTTAACGAACAATCAATAAAAACACGACGATGACGTAACTTTCCCGTACGACACTTTAAAGTCAGTTATTTTATGGTCAAATCATACACAGTTTAGTTCATGCAGGACAATAGTTCAGTACATGTAGTGAAGCATGTCCCCAGTCCGTGTATGTTTCATTGAGTGTGTGTTTAGCCTCAAACCTGAAGTGAGACTGGGACAGTCCAGGAGTGTCCCCTGGTCCTCTGGGAGCAGGGCCCTCTCCACAGCCCTCTCCACCAGGCTCTCCACCTGCCCCAACATCTCCTGCATCGCACACTCTATACTCTGGTACAAAGACGAGCTCAGCTGCTGCTTTAGTCTGTCCTTAAAAGACGCCATTGTCCAGAAAACACCAGTAAATATATCGACAGAACCCAAACTTTCACCCCAATAACCCAAGCCCCGGCGATTCAAGATGGCGCCCTATTCAAATGAATGGTTGTGCTCGTTAATATAATAGATCCATTCAGCATGGGGGCTGAAAGATTAGCGGAAGTCGCCTGGAACTCGCAAAGATCTATGGGAAACCGAAACTCGGAAGGAATTACTTCTTCTTCTTTTAATTTCCGGCAGACTTGGCGCCTCATCGCGCATTGCTGCCTTTCCCGGTCATCTTGTGCACTACAACAACTTCCATAAAGAATAGGCTCAAGCCTCTACAACCAGATATGCAGCTCAGCTGCTCGTACAAAGTCCAAGACCGCTCTCACAACCAGATTCTGCTCTCTAACTGGACTCAGAAGACACTTCAGATTGCAGTCCATAGAAAACTTTGACATAACCTCCTTCAGCACGGCTCGCTGATGAGAATATACTGGACATCCATGAATACATGACTCACAGTCTGATTCTTGTTACAGTGTGCACATAACCCACTTTGATGTTTCCCTACCAGGGCCGGAGTGGGACATTTTTTTGGCCCGGGAATTCTGGATCAGACCGACCCTTCTGATAAAGTAGTCTATCAAAAAAACTGAACTGCCTGCTGTTGTATAATTCATAAAAACCCGCAGGTGGCCTAAAATCAAGTTTCATAAATTTCTAGACTAGTACTATTGAAATTATTTTTCATTCACCTCTTTAGACTTCTCAGTGTTAGTCACAAAATAACTCAACAATGCATTTGAATAAATCTTTGATTTTTCTTGAATTTGAATATTCTGGTATCACAAAATTAATTGTACCAAATTTTAGACTGACTCTAGACTTATGTGGATATAAAAAGCATGAATTTCAAAAATTTTAGAACAATGTCAATTTTCCTTCAAATAATTGTTATTCCCAAAGATTTGGCTGCATTTATTTGCATTGAATTGAATCGAAACTTTTAAACAATTATCTTCCTATCAAGACTAAACAAAAACAAAGACTATTGCGTATACTACAATAAGACCTCCATCCATCCATACGTTTTCTACCCTTTAATCCATTTCTGGGTCAGGGGGGTGACAGTCAGAGATGCCACCCAAGTCTCATAGCACCAGCCCCTCACTGACCCTCTGCAGGTGGTGAGTCCACAGGAGGACGGCTGCTCTCTGAGTGTGAGCATAGCCTTGATCTTTCACACTAAGACCTAAATAGATATAAACAGTACTTGCTACGACTTGATACAAAACCAATATTAATCTTAACATACTTTAATGTTGTCCCAGGAGAGAACTAAAGGCAAACTAAATGTTTACCTGAATCAAGACGAGAAAACACAAACTGCACACTATATAAATCAAACAAACCTAAATTAACAATAGCAAAATGAAGCACATTAAAACATGAGTAAACTCTGTAGAAGTGCACTTGTTTCTGCTACTTTGTTAATGATAATGTCATTATCCAATGACAAAGGATGTCTTTTCTGTAGACATGAGCATAAATGCTTCACATCTTTTGACAAACACACAAAATATTCAACTGTTACTTTCCTAATGTAAAAAGAAGTTAAAAATGTTATTTATGCAATATACATTATGAAATAAATAAATTCATGGCCTTAAAAAGGCTTAGTCAAATTTGATTAAAAATACAATATTCTTTTTGGTTTTTCCCTGCCCATTCCTGTGTAATCAGGCTCTTCATTAATATGAATTAATAGTTACCTAATGTAACTTAAGTTCTACGAATAGGTGCGTAGTCCCTTAGGACTTCGCTAGTGGGATATCACTCGTGACCCCCAGGTCACACGCCAGAGAGATCAAAATAATTTGCTCCAATCACCAGCCACCCTCCTCTATAAAGGCCCCTGCAGAAGGCCGCACCCCCTCTTGAACTCTGCCAAGCCGGGCTGGCCTGATGGGCTCGTAGCTAAGGGACTACGCACCTATTCGTAGAACTTAAGTTACATTAGGTAACTATTAATTCTACGTCATGGTGCTACGTCCCTTAGGACTTCGCTAGTGGGACACAACGCGGAGGCCGTAGGAACATGTACTCCCAGCAGGCCAGCGAAGGGTGATTGGAGCTCCGCCCGAGAAAGACCCTCACACAGTGAGAGGACTCAGGGCAGAAGAAGCAATGCGTGTTACAGGGCCACTCCTACCAAGGATACCCCCACGTAACACAGACCGTAGGTCACCCGTAGTCCCAGGACGCCTCTCCCAAGAGCTCCGGACGTGGACTACCTGACCGACCAAACACACATATATGTACCGCACCTGTAGGACGCCTCTCCCAAGAGCTCCTGGACCAGGGCGGAAAGTCAACCGAAGGCCCTCTTAGAGGAGGGACCTAACGGTCTAACTCAGTCCGCTGCACTCAGCACGGAATGGGCCACCGACCGGTCCGACACATCCAAAAGATAAGACCGGACGAAAGAAGAGGACGACGCCCAAGAAGCCGCACGGCAGACGTCCTCGACCGACGCCCCCCTGAGGAAGGCCGTAGAGGCCGCCATCCCACGCGTGGAATGCGACCTGAAGCCCACCGGGGGGGCCAGACCCTGCGTCTGATACGCCCGCCGCACAGCCGTGGCGACCCAGTGCGCCAGCCGCTAAGCCGACAGCGGGGCGCCCCTGTTCTTGGGGCCCAGACACACAAACAGCTGATCACCCAACCTGAATGACGACGTCATGGCCAGGTAATGCCCCAGCATTCTGACAGGACACAGAAGGTGCCGCCGCTCCTCCTCGGGGGAGGCATGCGGTGGCGGATAGAAAGCCCTAATCCTGATGACTCTCGACCTAAAGGCCGACGTGATGACCTTGGGGAGAAAGGCCGGATTGGGCCACAATTCCACCATGCCGTCGCCCTCTCCAAAGGACAGGCAAGACGCATGGACAGAGAGCGCACACAAGTCGCCCGCCCTCTTAGCAGACGCCAACGCCAGCAAGAGGGCCGTCTTAAAGCGACACACTCGGGACTCGCCTCCGCCGCCGGTTCAAAAGGCGGCCTCCTCCTGCGCGCCCCCCGCAGAAAACGTTTAACCAACGGATGAGAGCGGGCTGTGAACCCCCCCGAATCCGTTGTGACCCGAGGTAATGGCTGCCGCGAACACCGCCAAGGTGGCGACAGCCCTCCCTTTGTCAAAAAGCTCCTGTAGGAATCCCAGGACCCCCTCCAGCGGGCAACGCCTGGGATCCCAGGAACGAGAACCGCACCAGTCGCTGAAGAGCCTCCACCTCGTGGCGTAGGCCCTCACAGTGGATGGCGCCCTCACCCCCTGAATGGTCTCCACCACCGCAGGGGGAAGACCCAGGTCTACGAGGTTCCGCCTCTAAGCCTCCAAACCCAGAGCCTGCGGCCGATTATCGGGCGTGAAAACAGGGCTACCCCCCCTGGACTAGAGCCCCCGGCTCGTCCGGGAGGGCCCAGGGCTCCATCACCGCCATTACCCTCAGGAAGGGGAACCACCGGGCATGCGGACTGTCCTGAGCCACCAGGATCACCGACCTCCTCTCTTGTTTGATCCTCCGCAGCAGGACCGGCAGGAAACACACTGGTGGGAAAGCGTACAGCAGGCCCTCTGGCCAGGGGTAATGAGCCAGAGCGTCCACGCCTAAGGGCGGCTCGTCCGCGGCCCTTAAGGCGAACCAGGACGGGCACTGTGCGTTTTCTGCACTGGCGAAAAGGTCGACCACTGGACGGCCGAACCTCCGCCAGATCTCCGCAGCTACCCGTGGGGCCAGGCCCCACTCGTCCTGGAGTGGGCCCCCCCGGGACATCCTGTCGGCCCCCACGTTCCGGACCCCCGGGACGTGGCGCGCCCTGAGAGACAGGAGGTGAAGCGCCGCCCACAGCAGCGTCACCGTCGCCATGCGATGGAGAGCGGGGGACCTGGTGCCCCCCTGCCTGTTCAGATAGGAGACCACTGTGGTGTTGTCTGAGCGCACCATCACGTGTCTCCCCTGCAGCTGAGGAGCAAAGTGCAGCAGTACCCTGTGCACTGCCTCCATCTCCAGCAGGTTGATGTGACGGGCTGAGTCCGACCAGCAGCCTCCTACAGAGCTCTGGCCGAGGACCCCGCCCCATCCTTCGAGTGACGCGTCCGTGAACACCTCCACGTGAGACACGGCGCAGGCCAGAGTCACTCCGTCCCGCAATAGACCCGGAGTGAGCCAGAACCTGATGTCCGATGCTGCCACTTGGGGAACCCAGATAAGCCTCCCCCCGTCCCGGAAGGGGTGCAGCCTGAGGCGTGAGAACTACCTCTGAAAATTCCTCATGTGGAGAAGGCCTAGCCGCACCACAGCATGAGCCGCTGTCATCATCCCCAGCAGGGACCTGGGGCGCCGAGCGGGGACTCTGGGGCCCGCCAGAACCTCCCTGGCCAGACGGGTAATGTTCATCCGTCTGTCCACGGACAATGCAGCACGGAATGTCACAGTCTAGCTGCAGGCCGAGATAAATCATGCGCTGAGCCGGCTGCAGCTTGCTTTTATCCCTGTTTACCACAAAGCCCAGACGCTGTATGTGGGACAGGACCCAGTGCGTGTGACTCACGGCCACTTCCCTGGATGAGGCCAGAATTAACCAGTCGTCTATGTAGGTTAAAATTCTTACCCCTGCGCGTCTGAGCGGCTCCAGTGCTGCCTCCACGCACTTCGAAAAAAGTCCGAGGCGCGAGTGCGTAGCCGAAGGGGAGACGGCAGTACTCGTAATTCCTCTCTCCCACTGCGAAGCGCAGAAACCTCCTGTGTTCCGGCACTATCGGCACGTGGAAGTATGCGTCTGTCAGGTCTATGGAGGACATCCAATCTCCCTGCCTGACACACTCGAGGAGCTGCTTTGTGGACAGCATCCGAAACTGCCGTTTGGAAATGCACTCGTTCAAAACGCGCAGATCCAAAATGGGACGCACCCAGCCTGACTTCTTTGGCACCAAGAAGTATGGGGAGTACAGACCCCTG